CTCCTCCTCCTCCTCCTCCTCCTCCTCCTCCTCAGCCGCCGCTTCTGCCCAAGCCACCTCTTCAGCGGGCAAGCAGGCACCCCGCGCAGAGCAGTTCCGCCCGCAGAGAGCGCCTTCCATCACATGCCAGCCTGGCTGGCCTCCATATGTTTCATGACGATCTGGATCGCCATGCCGTTCCTCCGAGGGGGAGTATACAGAATCTCGCTGCTGGCGCTGCCTCGCTGCCTCGTGTTCAGCCTCACCTACAGCGCCGTGCAGGTGAAGATGCCTCCAGCTACGCGGTGGCGACTACTCGGCGCCAGCTCACAAGTCGACCAGCTCAAGTCTTTCAAGCAAGAAGTCTACACGAGGGGCTATGGCCGCGGACCGCTCCTCAATTGTCATGCAGGTTCGGTGTACTGGGTGAGCCAGCGGTTCGGTTCGCCTGCCGTCGTCGATCCTGAGAGCCAGCCCAAGCAGGTACAAAGACGCGCTGGTGCTCTCAGCCACCAGCGGGGCGAGCTGGAATCCGCTTTCATCGTGGCCTACACCCCGCCTCGCTCAGGGCTAGCGGCCAAGTCACTCAAGTGGGTCAACATGGTCAATGAGATGCTCAAGGGGATCAACATGCCTCCCGCCTCACCGACGTGCAGCACACCTTCGATAGGCACGGACTTCACAGTTCGTCGGTATGGAGCTGACGTACTCATTGCAGCTGATGTAAGTGAAGTCTTCAGTGGCCCGACACTGCCCGGACGAACAGGTGAAGCAGCTGCCTCCTGCCATTTCGTTCCGGAAGATTGCGGATATTGCCTCACCCAGACCCCCTGGCAGGCTGACCCTACCTATTTTGGTGCAGATGGACAAGCTACGAGACCTGACTACCTCGAGGTTCCTCATGGGCTGTCGCTGAATCCTCAGACAGGCGGTATTTGGTGGAAGGCAGGGACTACTGTACTGCCGCTCAAGGACATCGGGACCAAGGACCTCGAGCCACTCATCGCCAAGGCCGACATCGTCATGCCCTACCTCTTCTCAGACATTCTTCGGGCGTTCTGGGAGAGCGACCAAATCACAGAGTCCCTACAAACTGGGGATATTCGCAATGCGTTCATCTCAGCCCTCGCGACCGCCCTGGAGAGCAACACAGATACCATCCGCGAGCTCAACGAGCAGGGCACCTCCTGCGCCCAAAGGAAGTTTCTGATCGACATGCTCAAGACCACCGCCAAGCCCTGCTTCGAGCGAAAACCAAAAAAGCCTGGTACCTTCAAGCAGCTCACGGCAGAGCATCTCGAGCTCCCGAAGAAAAGTGCGGAGCTACGCATGCAGTACACTGGCGCAGAATTCGAACTTGATATCGGAGAGAAGCTGGATACACTCACGAGACCATTCCAGAAGCAGAAGCCGCTTCACGACGCAGTACGCAAGAGAGCTACGGAGGCACAGTTTTCTGAGGCATGGAATAATAGGCAGCACGTAGAAATACATCTACTCAGCAGGTGCTTGGCAGGCACCAAGCTCGGCCAGAGGAACCGCAACTACTACAGCAGGGCAACCCGTTCGAGACCGAGCCTCGCCGTGAGGACTACGCAAGGCGCACCCAATAGCGCTCACGGAGGATTTCAGGCCCAACCTTACGACTTCGACGAAGAGAAAAAGCAGCTCCTGGCCCCCTGCAAGGACCGCGACGTCGGCATCAAGCAGCATTTCCAGGACGGGCATTACGAGGAGAAAGAGAAATTGGGCATCCTTTCGTGCAGAGTCAAGACGCGGCTCAACCACTGCAAAAAACGAGCGCCAGTTCCCGAACGGTCAATGCCAGCTGACATCTCCCAGATCATCCTGCAGCCTACAGTTACCTCACAGAGCAAGCCGCTGGCCCATGGCCTTGGTTACAACGAGGAGCTGAAGGAGGCGCCGCGGACCGTTCTACGTCTCGAAGGGCTTCTCCCTCATGTTTTCTGGGTCGGCTTAGCTCTATTGGATGCTCATCACAGCCCAGGCTTCATGCTCGATATGACGAACGCCAAGCCCTCAATTCAAGGATTGCGTATACTGCACATGACTTGGCCACTCAGGCGCAGCGTGTACGGTCAACTACAAGGCCACAGTCCTCTCCAAGCTCTCCAAGCTCCTCACAGTATTCATCAGGCAAGTTCTCGCCAACGCGCAGCAGCTGGAGTGTGTGGGGGCAGCGGAGTTCAGCACGCACCTCTTGCCCATTCAGAACTACGTCAAGGACCTCAAGACCTATCGTATACTCTACGCGGAGAAGGGCAGGGCGCAGAGCATAGAACACGCTTTCAGGCCACCAGAGGGGCCACCCTTCATGACACTGTTTATGACCCTCTACTTAGAGGACGTGGGAGGCAAATCGAGAGGGCCACTCACGGATCACGGCCAGTTCCTGGACCAGATCAACGCAGCGACGGTACTTCGCAAAGTCTAATACATCAAACTCAGCAAGAGCTTCGTGTCCTACCAAGCGTTGCTCACGCTGCTCATCGTGCAGGGCCCCAAGACGGACGCAGAGAACGTGGAGATACCGACGGTGGAGCTGCTGCAGCGGCTCAACTCCAGGATACCATTCTCCACACACCACTGCAGAACAGGAGTGGTGGTCAAGGAGGGCAAGGCACCAGTGGAAGTCAGGGACGTTGAGCTGGCTGCATGGTCAGCAGGACAGTGAATCTCACCAGCCCTCTGGGCGTCGGTGGTTTAGGGCGTTTCCTCTTCCACCCCTCCCTCTTCCCCTTCGGGGAGGGGTTTACCCCTCCCCCTACCCCCTCCCCACTGACCTGGACAGGAGGGGCGGGGAGCGGTCAGAGCGTCCAAGATGGCCCAGGACGGCTCCAAGAAGGCCTCAGAGAGCCCAAGATCGCCTCCAAGATGGCTCAAGATAGCGCAAGATGCCTGAAGATGGTTCAGAAGACGCTCCAACACGTTCCAAGACCGCTCCAAGATGGTTCCAAGTGCCCACAAGAGCATCATTTGAGTGCCCTCAAAAGGCCGAAATGCTTCAAAACCCTAGGGAAAATCAATGTTTTTGGTGTTCTCACTTTTTCGCTTCCGAAGCCCATCCGAGGCCTCAAGATGGCGCCAAGATGTCCCAACTGGGCCCCAACAGGGGCCCAAGAGAGCCTCAAGACTGCCTCAACAGCGTCCAAGAGCGCTCCAAGAGCGATCCAAGAGGGGTCCAGGAAGCGATTTTAGACAGTCTGGAGGGGCAACGCTAATTAAAGCTCTGCTCTTCTTTGATACATTTGCTCCAAGATGCCCCCCCAGAGCGCCCCGATGGCGTCTAAAAGGACCCAGACGCCCAAAAACTGCTTCAAAATAAATTCAATCGAGCGCTCGCGCGGGACGCGAAGAACAGCTGCCGATCATCGGCGCTCTTCGTTCGAGTGCCTGGTGTAGGATGGGCTGGTGGGGATACGCGACGCGTCCAGAATTTGTATGGAGGCCGACTTATCTACGCCATGGTGGGTTTCAAGCTCGGCGTGCGCGACGCCGTGAGCTGAGTGAAGGCGCCCGCGCTGTGCGGGCGACGGCGGGGGCTAGAGCACGAGGCACGCGCCAGACTCCGCCCCCCGAGGCCGCTCTTCTTCTTCTTCTTCCTCCTCCTCCTCGCTCCTCCTCGCTCCTCCTCGCTCCTCCTCGCTCCTCCTCGCTCCTCCGACCCCAACATGCTCGGGCCCCATCCGGAAGGCCTAGCGAAGCGGCGCTCCTGCGCCTCGCGCCACCGGGCGCCCGATGCATCCGAGGCGTCCGAGCGGCTGCTGCGGGCGCCTGGCGTCGACGTCGTCGCCGTCGTCGCCGGCGTCGTCGTCGGCGTCCTCCTCCTCCTCCTCCTCCTCCTCCTCCTCCTCCTCCTCCTCGTCGTCGTCGTCGTCGTCGTCCGTCGTCCGTCGTCCTTCGTTCGTCGACCGTCGCCCATCGTCATCCGTCATCGTCGTCCGACGTCGTCGTCCGTCGTCGTCGTCGTCGGCGTCGTCGTCGTCCTCCTCCTCATCCTCCTCCTCCTCGTCCTCCTCCTCCTCGTCGTGATCGTCATCGTCGTCCTCCTCCTCCTCGTCCTCCACGTCGTCGTCGTCCGTCGTTCGTCGTCGTCGTCCGTCGTCGTCGTCGTCGACGTCGTCGACGGCGTCATCGTCGTCCTCCTCCTCCAGTTCCTGCTCGTCGTCGTCGTCGTCCGTCGTCCGTCGTCGTCGTCCGACGTCGTCGTCGTCGTCGTCCTCCTCCTCATCCTCCTATTCCTCCTCCTCTTCCTCCTCCTCCTCCTCGTCGTCGTCGTCGTCCGTCGCCCGTCGACTGTCGTCTGTCGTCGTCGCCTGTGTCGTAGTCGTCCTCCGTCGTCGTTGTCGTTTGTCGTCGTCGTCGTACTCGTCGTCGACGTTGTCGTCGTCGTCATCGTCGTCCTCCTCCTCCTCGTCGTCGTCCGTCGTCCGTCGTCTGGCGTCCGTCGTCCGTCGTCGACGTCGTCGTCGTCGCGCGTCGTCGTCGTCCTCCTCCTCCTCCTCCTCCTCCTCCTCCTCCTCCCTTTCTCCTCCTCCTCGTCCTCCTCCTCGTCCTCCTCCTCATCTCGTCGTCGTCGGCATCTTCGTCCTCGTCCTCCTCCTCCTCCTCGTCGTCGTCGTCCGTCGTCCATCGCCCGTCGCCCGTCGTCGCCGCCGTCGTCGGCGTCGTCTCCGTCGTCCGTCGTCGTCGTCGTCGTCGTCCGTCGTCGTTGTCGCCGTGGTCGCCGTCGTCGTCGTTGTCGTCGTCGTCGGCGGCGTCAGCCTCCTCCTTCTCCTCCTCTTCGTCGGCGTCGTCGTCCGTCGTACGTCCTGAATCGTCCGTCGTCCGTCGTTCGTCGCCCGTCGTCGTCCGTCGTCGTCGTCGTCATCGTCGTCGTAGGCGTTGTCGTCGTCGTCCTCCTCCTCCTCCTCGTCGTCGTCATCCGTCGTCTGTCGTCCGACGTCGCCGCCATCGTGGTCGTCGTCGCGCGTCGTCGTCCGTCGTCGTCGTCGTCGTCGGCATGGGGAAGGGACCACGGGCCGAAACTCGCGGCGCACGCCTCCCGTAGTGTTTTGTTTTTTTTTTCTGGGACCCGAGGGGGTCTGGTGAAGTGGCCCAGGGACACGCAAACAAATACACACTTTCCCCATATTTTCCCATATTGTCCCAAATTGTCTCATCTTTTCCCATATTCTCCATATCGTCCCACATTCCAAATTTCAGGGCCCCAGAATTCCCCATATTGTCCCATATTTTCCAACACTTGGGTCTTGAGCCCCGACCGACTAGGCGCCTGAGGAGGCCGCGGTGCCTGGCCGCTCTGGCGTGCCCGGCGGACCCGCCTCCCCGGCGCGGCTTGGCGCCGCGCTGGGCGGCCTCGAGCCCTGCGCCCCGGGCAGCGGCCGCTGCGCGCCTGCACCGCGCCGCTCGGGCGGCGGCGGCGGCGGCGGCGACGGACGGCGGCGACGACGACGACGACGACGACGACGACGACGACAACGACAGACGACGACCTCGAACGACGAATCTCCGACGATAGACTTTTCAGCAGGTGGGCGTTCCTCGATCTCGGCCCTCTGGGGCCGTTTTCGGGGCCCAGGGCTATGAAGAACGGATTCTGGACGAGAAACCACCACCGGGCAAACGGTCGGGACCTCTCATGGGCCGCGGATTGAAAAAACAGACCTGCGGACGTCAGCAAAGACGACGACGAGGGACGAGGAACGAGGAACGACGACGACGACGACCATCTTGCGAATACGTGATCCCAAAAGCAAGATTGACCTTCATTTGTCTCTGTTTCTCCCTCTCCCGTGTACCCGCCAGAAGCCTATGAATCAACCCTCTTTGGGTTGGGGTCTTCTTTTCATACCAGTTCCTGGGAGAAACATTCAGCACAGCACTGTGTACGCGCACCGCGCGTGTCAGTAATGCGAGACAACTCGCCCGCGAGCAGCACGCCACTCTGAGTGAATTCCGAGGGATGCTCAGGCAAGAGCGCCCTTCCTCGGTTTGGGAGCCTATCTGGCCAGGGTGTCTCGGAGTAAATCAGAAGGAATAATCGAACGGGAGCTGTTGTCGTTGCAGTTGGGCCTTCACCAACTTGACTGAAGTGCGAGGGCGTCTCGGGCCAGAGCGCCTTTCCTCAATTGGGGGATCTATCTTGCCAGAGCGTCTCCGAGTACATTGAAAGGAATTATCGAGCGGGACCCGTTGTCGTGGTAGCTTGGCCGTCAATGCACCAATTTGATTGAACTGCGTTGAATCTCGAGCGAAGGCGCCGTTCGTGTCTTTTGGGGGCTCCGGTTTGGTCGTCCGGGGGTCAATTATAAGAAAGTATCAAGCGGGAGCCGTTGTCGTCGCATCTGGATCTGCACCAAGTTGGGTGTCTTTTGAAGAAATCTCTGGCGAGAGCGCCGTTCCTGAGTTTGGGGACCTCTCTGGCCAGGGCGCATCATAATGAATTGAAAGCAGAATCGAGCGGGATCCGGTGTCGTTGCAGTTGGGCCTTCAACACCTTGACCGAAGTGCGAGGACGTCTCGGGCCAGAGCGCCGTTCCTAAGTTTGGAAGCCTCTCTGGCAGGAACATCTCCAGGTATATTGTAAGGAAGTATCGAGCGGGAGCCGTTGTCGTCGCAGTTGGGGCTGCAACAACCGATATTTGCAATCAAGCCCACGCTCAAGAGGGAGCCTCGTTTTCAAAACAAAATGAGGCCTGCGTCGAGGCGAGAATGCCCGGAAGGAACACTTTCCGGAGATCAACAATAATGGTTCTCTAGAAATGCACAGTCGACGACGGCGACGACGACGACGCCGACGCCGACGCAGACGCCGACGCCGACGCCGATGCCGACGCCGAGGACGACGACGACGACCACCACCACCACCACAACGACGACAACGACGCCGACGAAGACGCCGACGACGAGGTTTTAGGACGAGTTCTGCGCCGCAGGCTGCGGCAGCCTCCGCGCCTGCACTGCGCCTGGGACGACGACAGCCCTGACGCCCCTGCGCCGCGAGAGAAAAGATTGTCTCTGGTGTTTCCGAACCATCATGTTTTGAGCTGGGTCCCCATTGTGAATCAGCAGCGCCCCGCGTCCCTCCCTCCTCCTCCTCCTCCCCCCTCCTCCCCGCGTCCCTGCCTCCCGCTCCTCCCGCCTCCTCCCCCCCTCCTCCCATCCCTGTCTCCGCCCTCCGCATGAAAAGTATGTCGGCTCACCCACCACACGCCTCGCGGCCCAATAGGGAGCGCCACCGAAGGTACCAGTGGTTGCGACCGCGTGCCGCCGCCGCCCCACTCCTGCACACCCCTCACACGCTCCGTGGCCCCAAAGGGAGCCCCACCGAGGGTCACAACGGCTGCATTCGCATGCCGCCGCCGCCCCACCTTGGCACACCCCTCACTCGCTTCGTGGGCACGTTGGCATTGGGCGCTCCACCGAAGCCGACACTCACAAACGCGGCACTCACAACTGCATGTGTTGGTCTTTCGCCAGGCTACGTCGGCGACAACCGCAACCCGGGTTTTAGCCTGTGGGGGGGGAGGTGCCGCCCGAGAACCTTACCTTTTCGCTCTGGGCAGCCCCACAGATGCCCGGGCGAATCAGCACTGCGCACCTGCGTACCCCCTCCGGGCCTGCGCAACCAAACAGCTCAGGCTATCTGGGTGGGGTGGAGGGGGGGCGGGCCCGATAACCCAGGTTAGAGTGTCGAACCGCGTCAGAAAATGGTTCGGGCGACGTCTTCGCAGGACGAAGCCAGTGGCAGGACACAAACGCCATGAGAGCGTCCTGGAACGCTCTGGAACGACTGATCCTGGTCCCGCCCCCGCCCGACTTCGGCCGTTTCCGTGGGATCCCCTCGTGGGAACCAGCTCCACATCCTGGAGTCGATCTTCAACGGCCCCGGGGCCAAAGGGAGGGCCACCCCCCCAAGAGGCCGGAAGCTGCCGCCCAAAAACCTCCCGTCGCGATCCTTTCGCGGCGCGAGGAGGTCAGCAGCTTCCGAGCCATGACTCGGGCCTCCGGCGGCCGTCCGTTCGGGACGCGACGGGCACCCCCCAGAGCGCTCTGGGCGAGGCGCCGCTGCTGGAGAGCATGCCGAGGATCGAAAACCCCCGACTCCCGCGAGAACGCCCGAGAGCCTCGCCCGAAAACCTCGTCGTCGCCGCCGCCGCCGCCGTCGTCGTCAACGTCGTCGCCAACGTCGGCGTCGCCGACGTCGTCGCCAACGTCGGCGTCGGCGTCGTCGTCGTCGGCGTCGGCGTCGGCGTCGTCGTCGTCGTCGGCGTCGGCGTCGGCGTCGTCGTTGTCGTCGTCGGCGTCGGCGTCGTCGTCGGCGTCGGCGTCGGCGTCGGCGTCGTCGGCGGCGTCGGCGTTGTCGTCGTCGCCGCCGCCGCCGTCGTCGTCAACGCCGTCGCCAACGTCGGCGTCGGCGTCGTCGTCGTCGGCGTCGGCGTCGTCGTCGTCGTCGTCGTCGGCGGCGGCGGCGTCGGCGTCGGCGTCGGCGTCCGCGTCGGCGTCGGCGTCGTCGTCGTCGCCGTCGGCGTCGTCGTCGTCGTCGGCGAGGCAGCTGCCAGAGGGCGGGCGGAGGGGCAGGGCGGCGCGGCGGAGGGAGAGCGTCGGGGAGGCGACGGCGGGCGGGGCCGCCGCACAGCACCGCCGCCAGCAGCCAGGCGCGGTGGGCCTCGCGAGGGGGGCATCCTCGAGCCCGCCTCCATGCGCCCGCCTCCATCCATCCTCCAACTCCGTCCTCCCTCCCTGCATCCTCCATCCTCCGTGGTCCTCCTCCCCCTCCCTCCTCCACCTCCTCCTCCTCCTCCTCCTCCTCCTCCTCCGCCTCCTCCGTCTCCTTCTCGTTCTCCGCTTCCTCCATCATATTTCTCCCTTCTCCTCCTCCTCCTCCTCCTCCTCTCCTCCTCCACAGAGGCGGCCAGCCCTCTCATCCACTTCCACCCCGTTCAACCTCTCGTCCTCTCCTTCCTCCTCCTCCTCCTCCTCCTCTCCCTCCTCCTCTCCTCCTCCTCTCCTCCTCCTCCTCCTCCCCCTCCCTCCCCTCCTCATGAATCCGCCGACCCTGTCGGCGTGTGCTAAACGCTGTCTGCCTTGTCGTCGTCGTCGTCGCCGACAGCTCAGTCGGCGTCGCCCTTGCCGTCGCCGCTCCTCTCCGTTTCCCTGGGCCCTCCTCTTCAACCGCCAGCTACAAGGAAATTGAGGAACGTCGTAGTGAAGTCGAAGGGAAGCCCCTTCCCTTCCTTTCCCCGCTGGGGGTGGTTGGGTGGGAGAGTGGGGGGGTCCCGGGTTACAATACCGCCCCCCCTGGGTCCCGGGGGGGTCCTGGGGATGGTCCCGCATCCAGGGTCGGCGGCACCAGCCGTGAGGCCTTCCCGATATCCTCCCCCCTCCTTCCTCCTCCTCGTCCTTCTCTCCCTGCTCCCTCTCCCTCTCCATCCTCCTACCCCTCCTCACAGGCACCCTTGTCATCTCACTCCTCCTCCTCCATCCATCCTCCATCCGTCCTCCGCCTCCTCCTCCTCCTCCTCCTCCTGCTCCTCCTCCTCGTCCTGCTCCCCACCTCTCCCTCATCCCTCCTCCCTCCACCCTCCTTCCCTCCTTCCCTCCTCCCCCTCCTCCTCCTCCTCCTCCTCCTCCTCCTCCTTCCTCCTCCTACTATCCTCCTCCTCCTCCTCCTCCTCCTCCTCTCTCCTCCTCCTCCTCCTCCTCTCCTCCTCCTCCCTCCTCCTCCGCCTCTCCTACTCCCCCCTCTCTCTTTCCTCCTTCCTCCCTCCTCCTTCCCTCCCCTCCCCTCCCCCTCCCCTTCCCCCTCCCCCTCCTCCTCCTCCTCCTCTCCTCCTCCTCCTCCTCCTCCTACTCCTCTCCTCCTCCTCCTCCTCCTCCCTCCTCCTCCTCCTCCTCCTCCTCCCTCCTCACCCTCCCCTCCTCCTCCTCCTCCTCCTCCTCCCTCCTTCCTCCTTCCTCCTCCTCCTCCTCCTCCTCCTCCTCCTCCTCCTCTTCCTCTCCTCTCCTCCTCTCCTCCTCTCTCCTCCTCCTCCTCCTCCTCCTCTCCTCCCTACCTACCCTACACCCTACCACCCTACCACCCTACCACCCTCCCTCCCTTCCCACATCATCGCCCCCCTCTTGGGCGCCCCCCCGGGCGGAAGCGCGGACCTCCCCGGCCGACAGGCCGCTGGAGAGGGGCGCGTAAAATTCCACGGCCGGCCTCCGCGGGGTCGCTGGCGGTCGTCGTCATCGTCGTCGTCCTCGTCGTCGTCGTGTTCGCCGTCATCGTCGTCGAAGTCGTTCGCCGATATTATCATCACCACCATCATCATCAGCAGCGGCATCGGCATCGGCATCGGCATCAGCATGAGCATCAGCATCAGCATCATCATCATCATCATCATCATCATCATCATCATCATCATCATCATCATCATCATCATCACCACCACCACCACCACCACCATCATCCATCAGCATCATCATCATCATCATCATCATCATCATCAGCATCAGCATCATCATCATCATCATCATCATCATCATCATCATCATCATCATCATCATCATCATCATCATGAAGATCATCATCATCATCATCATCATCATCATCATCATCATCATCAGCATCATCATCATCATCATCATCATCATCATCATCATCATCATCGTCATCATCATCATCATCATCATCATCCTCATCATCATCATCATCAGCATCAGCATCATCATCATCATCATCATCATCATCATCTTCATCATCGTCATCGTCATCGTCACCATCAGCATCATCATCATCAGCAGCAGCAGCATCAGCATCGTCATCATCATAATCATCATCAACAGCATCACCATCAGCATCAGCATCAGCATCAGTATCGGCATCAGCATCAGCATCAGCATCATTATCAGCATCAGCATCAACATCATCAGCATCATCACCACCAACACACAGACAACACCACCAACACCACAATCATAATCACGATCAGCATCGTAGTCGTCATCATCAGAATCAGCATCATCAGCAGCAGCAACAGCATCATCAGCATCATCAGCATGATCAGCACCATCATCATCAGCATCATCATCAGCATCATCAACACATACACCATCATCAGCAGCATCATCAGCAGAATCGTCACCATCATCATCATCATCACCACCACCGTCATCATCAGCATATCATCATCATCATCATCATCATCATCATCATCATCAGCATCATCAGCATCATCATCATCATCATCATCAACATCAACATCAGCATCATCAGCTTCAGCAGCATCAGCATCAATGGCTTCGGCATCATCATCGGCAGCAGCATTATCATTAGCAGCATCACCAGTGTCAGCAGCAGTAGCATCGTCCTCGTGATCAGAAGCAGCACCAGCAGCATCATCATCAGCAAGAGCACGACACGCATCATGAGCAGCAGCACAGCATTACCACAACTACCACCATCATTACCACCACCACAATCATCATCGCCGTCATCACCATCAGCAACATCGCTCCAATCGTCAGCATCATCAGCATCTTCAGCAGCAGCATCGTCAGTGTCATTATCATTATCATTAGTATCATCATCAGGAGCAGCATCATCGTCATTAGCAAGATCATTATCATCATGATCATCATCATCATCATCATCAGCAGCAGCATCGTTATCATCATCATCATCATCATCATCATCATCATCATCATCATCATCATCACCATCATCATCATCATCATCATCATCATCATCATCATCATCATCATCATCATCATCATCATTATCATCCTCAGCATCACCATCATCAGCATCATCATCGTCATCGTCATCATCAGCATCAGCTTCATCGTCAGCATCATGATAATCAGAATCAGCATCATCGTCATCATCATCAGCATCATCAGCATCATCATCGGCATCATCATCAGCATCACCATCAGCGTCAGCATCAGCATCATCAGCATCAGCAGCAGCATCATAATCATCAGCATCATCATCAGCATCATCATCGTCGCCATCATCGTCGTCATCATGGACAGCATCATCATCATCATCATCAGCATCAGCAGAATCCTCATCATTATCATCATCAGCATCATCATCATCATCATCATCATCATCATCATCATCGTGGTCATCATCGTAATCATTATCAGCATCAGCATCAGCATAATCATCACCACCATCATCACCATCATCACCGTCATCACCATCAATGTCATCATCGACATCATCAGTATCAGCGTAATCGTCATCGTCATCGTCGTTCTCGTCCCCATCATCCTCCTCAGAACCATCACCAAAATCATCAGCATCACCAGCATAATCACCATCATCAGCAACAACATCATCATCACCACCACCGTCATCATCTCATCATCATCATCATCATCATCATCATCACCACCACCACCACCACCACCACCATCATCATCATCAGCATCAGCATCAGCATCAGCATCAGCATCAGCATCATCATCATCATCATCATCAGCATCATCATCATCATCATCATCATTGTCATCACCAGTCTCATCGTCATCGTCATCGCCATCCTAATTCATCGACACCGTCGTCGTCGTCGTCGTGATCCTCATCCTCCTCCCCCTCCTCCTCCTACTCCCCCTCCTCGTCCTCGTCCAGGAGGCCGACCAGCCATGATCGGGGGAACTGTGCGCTTCATCGCCTGTGGGAGCCAATCGTATCGACGATCTCCCAAGAGAGATGTCGAGGCAGACAAGGGAATAAGGACCATGGCTCCCCAAGTTGTGTCTGGTCTGAGGAAGCCCGGAGGGAGGAGGGAGGCTCGAGGAGGGGGATCGAGGCAGATCGAGGATGGAGAATTAGAAGAGGCGAAAGCACATAAACATAAACTTTTCGCGCTTCGCGCTGATTTCTTCGATCTGCGCTAGGCCCCCCTCCCTGGCGCGCGGAGCGCGCCAGGGGCCCAGCGCAGATCCAGGAAATCCGCGCGGAGCGCCAGAAGTGTATGTTTATGGAGTTTCGTTCTTCTTCGAAGGATCCAGCATGGGGATCGAGGATCGAGGAGGGCCGAGAAGGATCTTTGTGACCCAAAAGGGGTTCCAGCTGAAAGGGGGTGGTGCAATATAGATTTGGGGCAATTGTATTGCGAATTGTATCGCATTGTATTGCAAGTAACGCACTGCACGCGAACATCCAGCAATACATTTGCGCCCCGGAATGTATTGCACGCCCCAGACGTATTGCAACCCCACGAGATCTATCGTACCAAATCTGCTGCACAACCACCTTGCCGCTGGACCCCCTTTTGGGTCAACCCGAGGATCGGGGGAGGGGAATCTCGGCGGTGGACAAACCTCCCTTTCGTACACCTCCCCAGTGAAAACGACCTGGGACCGAAACCCGACGGACCTGGACCCGCAAAAATCACGGCCGCGGCGCCCCCTCGCGAGCCGAAGACGGCCAAGTCGCTCATCGACGTGTCAGCGTAGGAGGTCTATCCACCTCCGACTTTGGGTCCACCCGAGGATCGGGGGGAGGGGGGGAGGAGGAGGAGGAGGAGGAGGAGGAGGAGGAGGAGGAGGAGGAGGAGGAGGAGGAGGAGGATGGGAGGAGGAGGATAGGCATCGAGGACCGAGGGAGGGCCGAGGAGCGAGCTCTGAGCGCGCCCGAGCCTCCGGCAGGAGGCGCCCCCCCTGCCGGAG